GGAGTCCTGCTTTTACTTTTGGAAAATAATATTGAACATTAATAACTCAATGATCAATTCTCTGATTTCATCTATGCTGGTGACCTCCCCCACTGCACCCATCTGCCCTCCTCCCCTGTGCTTTCTTTACCTGGATGCCAGGGCCTTGGACTCCTTTCTCTACAACCTCCGAATGTGGCGGTGCCCCAGGGATCAGTCTTTGGTTCTCTTCTCTTTCTACACAATTCACTTCATCTCATCCATGTTTATGTTCCCTAGTATTTAAAACCACCTCATCCTCCTAAATGCTCAAACCAAAACTGGTATCCACCCTTGACTCCTCATTATTTGAAATCCTACATGCAGCCTGTTGGTAAAGCCCGTGGACTCTACCAGAATCCAACCAACTCATGTCACTCCCACTGCCATCACCATGGCCCACCACCATTTATTGGCTGGGTTACTGCTGTCTCTAACTGATCCCTGTTTCTGCTACTACTCCCCTGCAGTCCATTTTCAACACACTAGTCTCAGCTCTATTAAAACATAAATTAGAGGTGTGGAGGTGGGAGGAGCTATTTCAGATTAAAAGATCTAGGAGACATCAAAGGTAATGTGTGGTCAATTAGATTCTGGGAGGGAGGGAGGGAGAGAGGGCGAAAAGGAGGGAGGGAGGAAGGAAGGAAGGAAAACAGCTATAAAATATATTTTGAAAACAAAATTTGAAAATGGGTATTAAAATGACCAACATGAGCCATTTCTGAGTGAAGGGGGACTATCACTAGGACTGTTAAACCAGACTGGTCACTCTAGTGTTAGTTAATATTATTCTCAACCATTTTTATAGGTGTAATAATGGAACTGTGGTATGTAGGAGTGTCCTTTTGGGAGACGGATGCTGAAGTATTTAGTGAGTGGAATGTCACTGTTACTTGGAAATGATTCAGCAAACTGTTAACAGTGGTCAACAAGGTTAAAAACTGTTGACTGTAGATGGCAGGCAAATGAGCACTTACTGTACCACTTTTCTACTCTTTTCTGTTAGAAAATTTCGTAAACATTACAAGAGTTAGGGAAGAAAGAAAATTCAGGTCATGTCACTCTTTGCTCAAACTCTCCTTTGGCTTCCCTGCTGTCTCAGTATGAAAGCCAAAGTCCTACAGAAAATCCCTTCCCTGTCCGATAACCTGTCTGCTCTCTCACCCCGTCCCCGTTCCCATCCCCGTCCCCTTGTGCACTCCCAGTACACCAGGCAGACTCTGATACCTGCACAGCCAGTTTCACCCCTCCCTCCTAGTCACCTTCTCAAGGACACCTTCCCTCTCTAACGTCTCTCAGGTCAACCCACTCTCCCCAAATTTCACATCCCCCTGTCTTCCCTTTTTCCTCCTTAACACTTAGCATTTATCTTTTCTGTATAAAGACATTTATATTTTACTTATTTATGTTTATTCTCAGTCTCCCAGATGAGCTATAAGCTCCAAGTGGGCAGGACCCTTCTCTGCCTTGTCACAGCCCTATCCCAGTGCTGAGAACTGGGCGGAGCACTTAGTAGGAACTGGTTGGCCAACCCCAACGTTGTCCCTAATGGATGCTCACTTAAGAAGAAATATAAGTAATGTTAATATTCATTAGCTTTTAAAAATTATCTTTATTTTCAAAATAAATTTACTTTAAGTAGATAAGTAGCTGTTTACAACCACTGTTAGTATTACATAAAAATGACACAGAAAATGTATACCTTAAGAGTTGTGCTAGATGCCAACTACGATCCCTGTACCATTAGGTCTTGCGAGCCCATAACACCTTGAAATGCAGTGTCCAAGGAAAGGAAAAGATAGCTTGAAGGATTGAGGTGACTAGCAGACCATTTTCTTTTGAGTAGAGGTTACCCATCAGTCCAACCATCCAGAGTACTGAAGCACTGGACCTGGGAGGACCTGTCTCATCCAACATTCCTCACTTTACAATTAAGGAAAAGCAGATCCAGTAACTCACATCAGGCCCCTAAGCCGGCAAGCCACAGACAGTACTAGAATCCAGATCTTCTGACCTCTACACTTCAATACTGCACTGATCCAAATTCCACTAATCCTCAAGTTATGTGGCATCAACTTCCATGTTACCTAGTGATTCAAGTATTTTATACATAATGAGGTACATGATCTTCTTAATGTAAAACCCTACTTTTCTAGCTCTTAAAAACTTATCTTGGGGCCGGCCCCATGGCTTAGCGGTTAAGTGCGCGTGCTCTGCTACTGGCGGCCCGGGTTCGGATCCCAGGCGCGTACCAACGCACCGCTTCTCCAGCCATGCTGAGGCCGCATCCCACATACAGCAACTAGAAAGATGTGCAACTATGACATACAACTATCTACTGGTGCTTTGGGGAAAAAAAAAGAGGAGGATTGGCAATAGATGTTAGCTCAGAGCCAGTCTTCCTCAGCAAAAAGAGGAGGATTAGCATGAATGTGAGCTCGGGGCTGATCTTCCTCACAGAAAAAACAAACAAACAAAACAAACTTATCTCGAATTCCTACGGACATGAAAAGATCTTTAAGAGCAGAAGCAAGCACACACACTCTTTCTCTGATAACTTGCCAAAGCACCTAAAATTCAATGTCCTACACATGGCAGATAAGATTGTTGGCTTATTACTATCACGCACTTGACATAAAATTTCTCATGTTACCCTTTTAATTTCACTTTGGTAAAACTTCACTCTTCAGCAAAAAGAACCAGATTCCTTTGAGGAAATAGCCCCAAGCCTGGGCTTCCAGGAGAAGTACAAGTTGAGCCCAGGATATTTTGTGGTCACAGAAAGCAAAGATGCTCTCAAACAACTAAGGGGACCACGTCAAAAGGACACAGGAGCTCCTTAAAGAGCTCCCTCCACCTAAACATGACCATCAAAAAGAATAATTTACTATCATATATTATATTTGTAAAAATATATGGGGGCTTACTGAGACTGAAGAGAAAAGGAAGAAGGGTCTTCTTCACAAACAAAATAATGCCAACTAACAGTGAAGAAACAACAGAATTAGAAAAATCACCATTTTACAAACCATGGATGTTACAACTGATTCAGGCATAGATCATCAATCAACAAATGCTAAAATCACTGGATGAAAGGTAGTATCCACATAATACCAAATTACCATCCCGTAGACTACTGCTAATGACAAAGAAAAAAAAATGTACCTTCACAACAGAGAGAAAGTAGTTTCCACCTTCACTTAGCCTCACTAATAAGGGTCTATACCTCAGTATGTCTCTCTCCACTTGATGCAATATGACTCTCACATGACCTGCTATGAAACATTCTTGTTAAAAATGTTTAAATTGAATCAAATAAAGCCTCCATATCAGTGGCTCTCACTGGGGGCAACATTTGGCAGTGTCTGGAGACATGTTTGGTTAAGAGTAGGTAGAGGGTAGGGATGCTGCCAAACATCCTACAATGCACAGGACCGCATCCATAACAGAGAATGGTCCAGCCTAAAATGTCAAAAGGACAAGGCTGAAAAACTTTCCTCTAGACCTGACTTCCAGTTTATAGGAAACACAGGAGGTAAAGGAATAAGTGAAACGAATGGATCCTAGGATCATTAAAACAAACAAAAAGATATTTTTGAGATAAGTGAGGAAATCTGAATATGGAGTGTATAATACATGATATTAGAGAATTACTGTTAATTATCTGAGATGTGAAAACAGCATGATTGTATCAGAGAATGTGCCATTCCTAGGAGACATCTCGTGACTTGGGGTGAAGCATCATGATGTTTGCATCTTACTTTCAAGTGCTTCAGAAAAACAACATGTACGCGTGGACAGAAAGAAAGCACATGTGGCACAATGTTAGCTTTTGAATCTAGGTGGAGGGTATAAATGGACTCTTTCAACTTTTCTGGTGTTAGAAATTTTTCAAAACAAAAAGTTGGGAAAAAAATGGAGAAATTACATTTTGATATATCATCTATTAAAATTGCTTACTAAAGGAGTATCTTCAAAAGTACGCTAGGTGTGCACCAACTACAACCCGTGGGCCAGACCAGCCAAGACTGTGTATGGCTCTTGAGTGAAGGGTGCTCCTTACATATTTAAAGGGAAAAAAAGAGAATAAAGTATATATAACAGAGATAACAGGTGGCCCACAAACCTTAAAATACTTGCTATCTAGGCATTTACAGAAAAAGTTTGCTGACTCCTGCTTTAGAGAATAAATGTATAAAATGTGTTTTTCAAAGTAAAAATTTCCCCAAGAAATACAAGGGGTTAGGAAAAAAGAACTCTTGGGAGTTGTGATCCTTTGGGTTCTCTCTCTTCTAACAGGTTCTCCACTCCCATCTTTAGTCCAGCTTAGTATTTTGGAAAAGTCACTTAAAAAGGCCTAGTTTTGATCACAATCCTCAATAAACTTTACTACCTGCAGCTTCCAGAAAATTAACGAAATTACATTGAAGGCTCAGAATCACTTTAAAATTTTGTTACTGTGCAGACATAAGCAATTTTTTAAAAAATGGTAAAGATGTTAACTTGCTCTTTCAGTCAGGTACAACAGCTCCCATCACTTAAATGTGGTGTTTTATAGACTGAATCCAAGAAAGTCATGGGAGTGACTTATTCTAAGTTCATACATAAAGCATAACGAGCCTGATGAAAGGCCTATTCTAAAGAGCCTGTATTTTGGCAGACACCCTTGGCAAACTGAGTCATTCTCACAGCAGAGTCCTCTCAATTGGCCAATCCATCACTAGTAACCAGGATGTCTGACATTTGACAAGATAATTCCAGGGCATACTTGAAAAAAAAATGTCATCTGGAAGGTATTTATATCTACGTTTTAATTTCTACAGGCCAGAATCACCAGAAGTGAAATTTGTAACACACAGAATATTTCAGAGTCTCAAAAAAAGGGAAACCACAGTCTCAGAAAATGAAAACCAAAAGGCGTTCCTCTAGACAGTCAAAGTGATGACCACCTTATATAAGTTGCTGACATCAATGGGCTTTACCTGCAACAGAGGCTCATCAACCTCTTTATTTGAAACAAGCATGTAAGTCTCTCAGACCCGTCCAACTGCTGGACAAACAGAGAGCTGTGTTTAATTAAGTTCTGATACAGCCATATCTGAAACAGCAAAACATACAAATTACAACTCTCGATCCACAAAAAGCTAATTCTTTACTAAATTACATCACATTCCAAATGTCTTTAAGTGGGAAATAGATACTTACTTAAAACATGATAACAAGTGAACCTTCTAAGTCAGATTTTACTTAGTAGTATACACATTTTCAATTTTCCATCTTAAAATAGCACATTAGTATTAAGCTAAATTACTAAATTTATTATTAAAACAAAGTACACATAAAACTCATGTAAATCTGAAACAGTTCATTTGCAAAAATCAGCAGTCCATAATAAAAATATATGAGAAACACAATATTAATCATAAGTTACACAGGATATCTGTTTCTTCTTTTTACCTTTTTCCTCTTTTGGATACTCCCCTTCCCTAACTTCATGAAATTCTGGTAGAAAAGGCAATCATATGGCCCCACGATTCCCCATAAATGGTCAGGGTGTAACATGTAAGGTGACGGATGTGTTACTTAACTAGATGGGAGGAATCCTTTCACAATGTTTACATATGTCAAATCATCACAGTGTGTACTTTAAATATCTTTCAATTCTATTTGCCAATTATACCTCAATATAGCTGAGGGAAAAAAAAAGAAAAAGGTCAGCTATGTGTCCGGGCTGACCGGAACTCCCCATTCTCCTGGACACGACTGGTCAACGAGTTCAGCAATGTTGGGTTAGGTTTCTGTCTAACTTGCATCCGGGAGGCCTGACTATCTAGTATGGACATAGCTGCCATAAATGGTTTTGAAAACTCAATACCTAACAAGAAATCTCTTCTACTTTCTTACTATATTTTTATAAAACAGACTGTTATTTGTTCATTTCATAAGGCCCATTTAGAACCAGTTAAAATTAAGATAGCTTCTTAAGTGTGCCACATAACCTTTCCTTTGCCTGTTATCTTTAAGGACTTTCTGCTTTTACAGTAACACTTATGGATATAAAATGTTATCAAACAATTAAAATACTAATGCAAAAGCATTTTGCATAACAAATTAGGGTATGTCCTAAATTGGGTAGAAATAACTCTGTGAGCCACTCAAAATACTAATTTGCCTACACACACGCTTTCTTCCTGAGGTGTCTGGGGCTGCCTTGTCCATCTTTTCTCAGGAACCAATTGGATACAAATACTTTCTGCCCTTTCTGACATGTAGTTCATTCTAAAATTTGTACTATCTATTAACAAATAAAAATAGGACATACAGTAACCAAACACTATAAACATCTAAAGGGCAATTGTAGGAATTATAAGAATAAGGCTGTAAATATATTAATCAAGTAGTCATGTTTCAAGTTGTTTAGGAAATTTTACTTGAACACTTCTGGACTGGATTTTGATACTGTATTTTACAACCTTGACAAATGTACCGATATCATCCAAAATGTTCTGGTATCACTACATTAAACATTTACTTTGCTTAACTTTTTGTTGTTGTTGCTATTATTTACTAAATGTAGACGAGTAAAGTTTTAAAAACTTTCCTTCTTATTTATCCTTTCTCAGGAAGTCAACTGAGGATGCATATCAATAAAACAAGGGAGTAAACCAAGAAAGCAAAAAGATATGAAATCAGGAAAGAGGATCTGAAACCGAAGCAAAGCAAAAGGCTTTCCCAGGATAACGGCAGGCCTGGGACAAGAAGTTCCTGGGATGGAGGAGGAACAGCTCCAGGGGAAAAAGAGCCTCAGATTACCTGACATCGCTCATCACGGAAAACTGTACTGAGAAGCATTTTACAGCACTGTTGGAAGGTGGAAGAAGACTTTATCAAGAGATTCAAAGAAAATTAAACAAAAGTGAGGCAATTATTAACTTCAGAATAATTCAAGAAAACCATACACAAAAGAAGATATAATCGTAGTACACAATTTTAGCAGAGACCATATTTAAAGTCATAACAATAAAATAAATAAAGGGCGGAGGTGAGGAAGGGATAGCCATATATTCTTTGTTTTGCAGAGAGTATCTTAGAAAAACTATCAAAAGTGGTGTTACACTTGCTCCTAGAATGGGAATTAGGGAACCCAAAGACTGGGGCAGGAGACTTTCTCCCCACACAGGATTAATTAATTATTCTTGCATTTTTGTTTGCAAACTGAATAAACATTTAGGTTCACTTTTGTTACATTAACCAGGTTTGACGATATTTCATTCTGTTCAGGGTTTCAGAATCTGCACCTGAGCAATTTGCTCTGTTTCGGCTTGAGACCTGGAGTCAAACGCACACATTCAGCTCCAAGCCTTTCACCACGGCTGCTGAAGCAGGGCTGTGCAGCTGCACCACGTTTAGAAACCACACGGGGCGTAATGATCAGGCCTTACACATGGAGCACGGCAAGAGCATCTCCTAAGGAAAGTGGTGCTCTGGAGAGACATAAACGACTGAAGCCCACACATCTGTGCTCCTCAGTGATCTTTCAATCTACAAGATTAGAGTACATGAAGATGGGGACGGACTGTTCCAGAAAGAAAGCCAGGTTACCTGCTGTTGTACTTTTTTCTGATTCTTTTTCTCATAAACTTCAGATAGAAAGCCCGGAAAGAGCCTGCACTTAAGGAAGGTCCAGAATGGGTGGATTAAGCCACTTGTACTGTCTCTCTAGACTGGCTCCAGTTTATGGAAAGTTCTTCCCATATTCCAGCCTACCTCAACTCAGGAAACAATGCTGGGTTTTAAAGCCAGACACCAGATAAGCAATAAAGTATTCCTCTGTCCTCTGTACTTACATTTCATATGGGGATCTTTCTAGTATGTATGGTTGTAGTATGGAAGATTTACTTTTCATTGTATACCCATCTTTTAATACAATTTGAAATTTTTATTACAAGTAAACAAGAATTTCTAAGAATAAATACTTATCTAACCTAACACTTATACATGAACCTCTTAATATTTCCTGGGAATCAGAATATAATAACAAGTTCCACTTTTTAAAAGATTATTCATCTATATGTATTTATATAATATATCATTTATATGTATTTTATACCATTAATACACACTGTTCCTCATCTTTGATAACATCAGAAGTTTATAAAATTTTAAAGTAACACAATTATATTTTGGATGTTTTAGGAGACAGATTTTAGAGATTTATATTAAAGTATTTACAGATAACATGCTATGATACTTTGAATGCACTTCACAATGACCAAGGGCACAGGTGTGGAGGGTTCTGTGTGAAACAAGGTGTTAATGGCTGTCCAGACTGGGTAATGGGTACATGGTGGATGGCTCAACATATTATTCTACTTTTTCGCATATTTGAAATTTTCCATAATAAAATAATGAAAAAGCCTACTGCAAATTTACATTGATTTTTAAGAGGTAAAACACATTACCACAAAGATGACCTACTACAGCTGCCTGAGGAAAAGTTCATCAAGGCGAGACATATTGGAGGGGTCATCTGACAACATTACAAAAAAAAAGGCTGGAAAATATGTAAACAAGGATAAGTGAAAACGGAGTTAACACTCACCAAACGTTTTGAGTCTTCATTCTGTTTGTAAAAAAACAGAAGTTGCCTCACCAAAAGGGTAAGGTTGGGACCATTAGCAATGGAAAAAGTGCCACCAGACTGTGACAAGTTAGCGCAGCGATCAAATGCACTTCTTTGGATGGAATACTGAAAACAAACAAAACAATACACAAATATAGTACACCAGCACATAATTGTTATGGTCTAAATGTTTTAACAGGAGCGGTGCAAATAGACAATTAAAGTGTCGTTGTGGTGGAGTTATCAGTAAAAGGTTATAAAAACCAAAAAACCTGGAATGTACTGAAAGATCATTAAATGCCCACTAAAAGAGCCTTCCACTACTTTCCTCTATTTTGATCTTAAGCTGTGGCTTGGTCTATGTTTGTATTTTATTATTTAAAAATCACCTAAAAACTCACCTATCTATAAATCTTTATGTGAATATAAACTAATAAAGTTAATTATTGGGGAAAATACTAATATCAGCATTAACTTTCATTAAACAGGTGTACAAAAATACATACAAAATGATTCTAAGAATGCAAGGCCACATTTACAATAAGCTCTCGCATGCTCTTCTAATTCTTTCTCATTTTAAAAACAAACTTACTTGCTGTTTTCTGTCTCTATAGCCTCGAATAAATGACTGGATAATTATTGCATTTTTCAATCTTCGCCTTTCTTCCTGAATATTGGAGGGAGGATAAAACAGTCAGAATCAGTGAAAATGACATTTAGCTAGTAAAGACTTCAAAAAAAAAAAAAAAATCAGCTATATAATCCACGTACCACAAAATTCACTGAAGTGTACCATTCACCAACTTTTAATATATTCACCAACTTTTAATATATTCAAAGTTGTGCAACCATCACCACTATCTAATTTTAGAACACTTTCATCACTCACTCCTCAAAAAACCCCCCTGTACCCATTAGCAGTCACCCCTCATTCCCTGGCCCCACTCCTCTACCGTTACCTCCCTCTGCCTGTGGCAACCACTAATCAGTTTTCTGTCTGTGTGGACTTGCCTATTCTGGACATTTCATATGATAGATTCATATAATATGTGGCCTTTTGTGTCTGGCTTTTCTCATTTGGCATGATGTTTTCAAGATTCATCTATGTTGTAGCATCTATCGGTATTTTACTCCTTTTCACGGCCAATTAAGATTCCACTGTACGGATGTCTCACATTTTGTTTATCCATTTATTAGCTGAGGGACATTTGGGCTGTTTCCACTTTGGGCTATTATGAATAATGCTGTGTGGACATTTGTGTACAAGTTTTTGTGTGCACATAGGTTTTCGTTTCTCTTGAAAGTATAACCTAGGAGTGGAATTAACATTTGAGGAACTGCTAGACTGTTTTCCAAAATGGCTACACCATTTTATAATCCCACCAGCGTAGTAAGACTTTTATAAAAAGCTTTAGTTTTAAACACAAGGAGAATACACACAGACAAAACAAACATCTATCTTAAAGGACACTTTCTTGTTCCAAGAAACAATAGAGAAAACAATTTGAGAAAACTCTAATTTTTCTGAGACCATCTTTAAAATTTTCAGTGGCCTAGCAAAAATATATATGCTTCATCATCATCATCATAACCATTGCAGCTACCACTGTTTGAGGGCCTACTATGTGCTAGCCCTAAGAGAGACACTTCACATGCACTCATACAATAACCTTACAAGTGAGTATTACTCCTATTTTAAAGATGGAGAAACTGAGATTTCCATAAAGACTAAGTGATGCCAAAAGATGTAAGAGAGTCAGAATTCACACTCAGGGGCCGGCCCGGTGGCTCAGCGGTTAAGTGCACGCGCTCTGCTGTTGGCGGCCAGGGTTCGGATCCGGGGCACGCACCGAGGCACCCCTTCTCCGGCCATGCTGAGGCCGCGTCCCACATACAGCAACTAGAAGGATGTGCAGCTATGACACACAACTATCTACTGGGGCTTTGGGGAAGGAAAAAAAGGAGGAGGATTGGCAATAGATGTTAGCTCACAGCCAGTCTTCCTCAGCAAAAAGAGGAAGATTAGCACAGGTGTTAGCTCAGGGCTGATCTCCCTCCCAAAAAAAAAAAAAAAAAAAAAAAAAAGAATTCACACTCAGATGTGACACTAAAATCTGTACTCTGTCTTACCACATGACATTGTTTCATGTCTTCTATGAATGCCACCTACCAGGGTTGAAACACACACACACTCACTCAATCCTGGTATTAGAGAACACCATCAGGTCATGCAAGTGTACTGTCTGAGCCTGAAACGATTACAACATGGGAACCCTTGAGCTTAAACCTGGTTTGGGAACCTATTCACTACTATGATTCCAAGAGCACTTAATTAAAAACTCATACATCATTCCATGAGTTTTCAAAACATTCATTTTTATTCATTCAGTTGTTCACTGAGGAAGAAGTCTCAGAAACACTCCAGCCTTCTGGTTGGGACCTAAAGGCAACATGTTAGGTGTACTGGAAATAGATCAAGCCTCACAAGGACTGAAGGCCAGTTTAAAACCAGCTCAACTGTGTATTAGTTAAAGTTGACTTTTCCCTCTCTCTACTGCCTGCCAAAAGCAAATCTAACACTCTCCAAAGGAAGAGATCACATTCTAGAGCCTGAAGATTTCTCTGCAGCTTGGCATATGCAATGTCTAGTATTCAACCAAAAATAACCAGGCAAAAGACAAGAACTAAAAATCAAGAGGACAAACAATAGAAACAAAGCCAGAGGACATCCAAATACTGGTGTTTAAACACTATCTTTAAAAATCTACAATTATGTTCAAGAAATTAAAAGAAAACTGGGAAATAAAAGAATCAAAGAAAATTCTAGCACTGAAATTAAGAACTCAATGGATGTATTTAACAATTAGACATCACTAAAGAGATCATTTGTAAATTAGAAGTTAGGTCAGAAGAAAATATCCAAACCAAAGCATAGATAGTCAAAAGAATAAATACACAGAAAAGAGTATAGGAGATATATAGGGCATAATGCAAGGTTGAATATATTTGTAATTGGAGTCCAAGAACAAGAGGAAAGGCAGAATGGAGCAGAAGCACTACTGGAAGAGATGATGGCTGAGAATTTTCCAGAAAAGATGAAAGACATCAACCAATAAGTACTTATCTTGTTTGAACAGTGATTTTCAACTGAGGGCAATTTTACTACCCAGGGGACATTTGGTAATTTCTGGAGACATTTTTGGTTATCTCAATGGTGGGGGAGGGAATGTTGCAGCATCTACTGGGTAGAGGCCACGGATGCCACTAAACATTCTCCAATGTACAGGATAGTCCCCCACAACAAAGAATTATCTGGTCCAAAATGTCAACAGTGCTGAGATTGAGGAACCCAGCCTAAGAGTCTGCATTTGCTGTTCCCTTAACCAATAATGCTTTTCCTCCAGTTTTTCACAAGGCAGCTTCTTTTTCATCCTTCAGAAGTTAGCTCAACTCTAACCAGCTCAGAGAATCCTTCCCTAAATACCCGACCCAAATCAGGCCTTCCCAGTTACTATCACAGTGCTCTACTGCCTTCACAGCACTCATCACCATCTCAGGAGCTTGGTTACTATCTGTGCTCTATCACCAAGCAGGAACACTGGCTGTCTTATTCACTGTCTATATACCCAGTAAGCAGAACAGTACCTGAAATATAGCAAGCTCTCAATTAATATTTGTTAAAAGAATGAATTATTAAAAAACAAAGGAAAACAAAAAAACCATCTAGAAAAGCAGATCACAAGATACTACAATTGCTGATTAATCAACAAAGTAAAGCCAGTTTAAGAAATTATCACCAGAAAGATGGAATGTAAAATAAAGAATAAAACAATGACTGCCACTGGCTCCTTTCATTTATTTACCTCCTTCACAATAGTTAAGATATTTCCCTCAACAGTGACTTTTCTCCTTTTGCTTGGCAAAATATGAAAATTATATACTAAGACTTTCTAGATGATCTGGAAACCATATCTTAAGCAATAAGTAAACTAAAAGCCCATTTCCCATCTTTTCTACACTGGTTCCAGAATAAGTGACTTACCGTAAAATCCAACAAATCCAGAAAATGTTTCTAAAGCTTAATACATATAAAAATATATATATTATGTCAGATAGAACATACATATACCTATATGCATATAACAATAAAACCAAGACTTATTTAAATGCTTTGGAAAAATGCTCGTCTGGAGAGACTATTACAAAACTGTTTTTACCTCTCTCTTTCTTCTTTCTTCCTGAGTACGATGTAAAAGAGAAGCCTTTTCTTCCTAAACACAAAAAGAGAGAAAAGATAAAGGTTATAATTTCAAATTCTAAAATACTCTCACACAAAAATTATAGAATGTTTTGGCCGAAAAAGGATTCTAAAGATCATCCAATTGAACCATCTGACTTAATGAGAAATCTGAGGCACAAGAGGTTAAATAGTTTTCCCCCGAGATCACAGATCTTATTACAGTTAGTATTTCAGTAGTTTACTAAGAATAAAATCTGACTGCTTTACACACACAAGTGAGTTCAAGTACAACTGGGGAGATCTGAGTAAGATCAGTGTATTGTATCAATGTCAATATTCTGGTTGTGATATGCACCATAGTTCTGCAAAATATAATCCCCAGGGGAAATTAGGCAATGTGAATAAGGGACCTTTCCATGTTATTTCTAACAGCTGCATGTGAGTCTACAATTATCTCAATAAAAATTCAATGAAAAAAATCAATTTATCATTACCAAATTTTTTAAAATATTTTTTCATCATAAGTAAAATTAAATTTTGAACAAAGTCAGTTGGTATGCAGAAGGAACTAAATTAAAGGTCTCAGACATTACATATGAATCTTTAGAAAACTTAATAAACTTAAATTTCTTAAAAACATATATTCCTTTAGGATAGTGTCAGAAAGCAAGTAATTAAGCCAATTTAAAATTATATATTGATATGTGAATGAACACACAATGTGTAGAATGAAAAGTTTCTCACTGACAAAATTTAAAGCCAAAGAAATAAATCCTCCAGATATTTTCCATTACAAAAAATTTCATTTCTCAAATTTCAAATAAAAAGCCTTTATGTACCACACAGTCCAAAGTCATAAAAATATTTTGTTTTAAACTTAATTAATTAAAGGGGGGAGGGATGAAAAACCTAAAGTAAAAGCGCAAAGTTAGGATGTCCAGAATTACAGAAACCTTCCAGATAAAAATATAGACATATTTTTAGTCATTATATTTATTTATGAATAGAATTGGTATGTTTATGTCTATAATTTCTTTTCCTTCTATCTCCATTTGTCCAGATTTAATATATGTTCATATTTGTTTATAGCTAAAGAGCCAAGATTTCTTAAAATAGTATACACTGTTACAACTACAAAAAAACATACCTAATGTCGGAAATAAAATAAACCAACATTTTACCTTAAAAAAAATGGTACGTATCGGCAAAACAGTCACTAAACTTACTTCAACACACCAATAAGCTTAGTCGTCACAAATCTAAAAGTTCCATGGGTTTGAGGACCTCATCTGTTCCTTACCACCATGTCCTTATCATATGCTTCAGTGTATGGCACATGTAGGCATTCAATAAATATTTATAAAATGAATGAATGAACATTTCCTTTAAGTAAAACAAAGTAGTCTAAAAGGAGGAGTAACCATAACAGCTGAAAAGCACTTTTGGATACCTGCAACACAGCACCTAGGCTGCAATATTTTAAAAATTAAAATAGGTACTATGTATCAAAAAGCATAATTGGCTTCTAAGTGCACACCAGAATGTCTCAGAAACTGTACTTTAAGTTTGAAGCTCAAGATAAGGGAGGAGCCATGAAGCATAAGAAGCACTGCTGGACACGTTGAGGATGAATATTCTTCACTTTTGATTACCTGTAGATTAAAATCGCTGGACACAGGACACCATATAAATGTGAAGGTCACTTCTCTCACCTGTGTTCAGGGGCTATGAAGTTTCCTACTTAAAAGACCCCTCATTTCAAAACAAGCAAAGCAAGCAAATCCAAAGTACTGGATACACACATGCACACAAAACATGATATGCAATTTCAACAACAAAATCATATTTTTAAAAATGTTAAGGCCTTTCTTTCAAAGACTACTCATGCTCTCTAAACATTTAACAGAGAAAAGAGAAAAGTCTACAGGGAGAGATCGACCCATGCCACGCATGAAGTCAGTCACACAGGAAAGTCGACTCCAGGAACAGCGCCAGCCGCCCCCAACACTGATGTGTCTAGACCTGTGCACTGTGCCCTACCACAGGAAGGACAGAGAGAGGAGGACACGTGTGCAACACAGAAACTCACACAGCCTGCAGGCTCTCTCCCCATATGCCAAAGCAACATTCTAAACCTTGGATTTGGCTAATTCATGTATTCCTCAGAACAACCTTCTGAGCTAAGTACCATTATTTTTCCTGTTTACAGATAAGAAAATTGAGATTCAAAAGAGGTAGGGCCAAGATCTGAATTCAGACATGTCCAGAGCCTAAGCCATTAAGCAGTGTGCTAATTACTTTGAAAAAGAACATTAAGTATGATATGATCATATTATTTTGCATTTTGAGAAATTAAAAAAAAATCTTTTGTCCCCATAATACATAATCTGGAAGGTCTATCAGAAAGGAGGCTGGCGGGGAGGGAGAGGCCACAGAAAAAAAATTTTATCACCAAAATTTAGTATGAGTTCAGAAAGCATGGGGAGCAGGAGGAGCTGAGAAACAAAGGACACAGAATGTCCAGAAAAGGTGAACTAAGCAATCAAAGAGACCAAGGACACAAAGGTTGCCATAAAAAACCAATTTAGTACACAAAGAACAAGTGTGATAGAGTACATAATCAATGACCATAAACTATGTGAACTGTCAATATGTAGCACCTGAACTTGTAACCAAATTCCAGATCAGAACCAGAGCATCTTCTTATATTCCTCATTTCAGAGAACGTCTCCATTCGGGGGTTCATAGTTTGGCGCGAGAAAAGAAGCCTACTTATGTGGGCCAGACACAATTCTAGACACTACCAATAAAGCCTGAATAAAACAGACTCGGTCCTTACCCTCGTGAGTACACATTTTAATAGAGGTATGCACAGGGTATAAGAAGACACCATGGAGAAAGAAGAGGTACCCTGCCCCAGTGACTCAGAGAACACTCAGAAGAAAAGGTGAATTCGAAAGAAATCCTAGAAGGTGGTGTTCAGCAAGATGATGACGAGATGGGAAAACATCCCAGCAGAGGGAGAAAGCACGTGAAGCAGGAGAGAGGCACGAGAGCACAACTGCTGGGAAGGAAAGTAAAGGATGAAAGAGAGGGGGCCTGACCTGGACTCTCTGTGTAGGAGTCAGAGGTCGGAAATTGAGGATGAATCTGAGAACTCTACCTCTGGCTACATGAACCATAAATCAAGACAGTATGGGATGGAAGGGAGAGGATGATAAACTTAAAATTCACTGATGATGAGATGTCTATGGGACTGGCAAGTTAAGTCAAGAGGTAATAAAACAATGGAAGAAGCATGGACTGAAAGTGAAAGTGTATCACCTAACACTTCAGCTTAAACTCCTTCCATGGCTTCCCATCTCTACCTGCATCACCTCACACAGGGCTGCCAACCCTTTAAAACAAACGCCCCTCAAGGTAACCACTAAACAATCAGAACAGAATCACATATGATAAATAAAGAGAAAACTAAAAGAGCCATCGTACAGAACTATGAAAGTGAATTGGTAGTCTGACACACACGGGACGAGAAACAAAAGAAATGCAAAAGAACTGGAAAATAAGTGATAAAATGGCAACATTAAGCCCTCATATATCAATAATCACTCTAAATGTAAATGGATTGAATTCCCCAATCAAAAGACACAGAGTGGCGGGATGGATTAAAAAGCAAGACCCAACAATATGCTGTCTCCAGGAAACATCTCAGTTCTAAAGACAAACACAAGCTTAGAGTGAAAGGATGGAAGACAATACTCCAAGCTAATGGCAAACAAAAGAAAGCAGGTATTGCCATACTTATATCAGACAAAGTAGACTTCAAGATGAAACAGGTAATGAGACACAAAGAGGGGCAATATATAACGATAAAAGGGACACTCCACCAAGAAGACCTATCAATTATAAATATATATGCACCCAACATATGAGCACCAAAGTTCATAAAGTAACTATTAACAAACCTAAACGGAGATATTAACAACAACACTATAACAGTAGAGGATCTTAATACCCCACTTACATCAATGGATAGATCATTCAGACAAAAAGTCAATAAGGAAATAGTGGACTTAAACCAAAAACTAGATGAGATGGACTTAGACATATACAGAGCACTCCATCCAAAAACAGCTGACTACACATTCTTCTCAAGCACGCATGGAACATTCTCAAGGATAGACCATATGTTGGGAAATAAGGCAAGCCTCTATAAATTTAAGAAGATTGAAATCATAACAAGCATCTTTTCTGACCATAATGCTATGAAACTAGAAATCAACTACAAGAAAATAACTGGGAAAGTGACAAAGATGTGGAGATTAACCAACATGCTACTGAACAACCAATGGATCATGGATGAAATTAAAGGAGAAATCAAAAAATATCTGGAAACGAATGAAGACGAAAATACGCCATACCAACTCATATGAGATGCAGCAAAAGCGGTCCTGAGAGGGAAACTCATAGCAATACAGGCCCACCTTAACAAACAAGAAAAATCCCAAATAAGCAACCTTAAACTATGCCTAACAGAATTAGAAAAAGAAGAACAAACAAAGCCCAAAGTCAGCAGAAGGAGAGAAATAATAAAAATTAGCACAGAAATAAGTAGAATTGAAACCAAAAAAACAGCAGAACAAGAGCTGGTTCTTTGAGAAGATAAAAAAATTGACAAACCCTTAGCCAGACTCACCAAGAAAAAAAGAGAGAAGGCTCAAATAAATAAAATCAGAAATGAAAGAGGAACAACTACAACAGATACCACAGAAATACAAAGGATTATAAGAGAATACTACGAAAAACTATATGCCAACAAATTGGACAACCTAAAAGAAATGGACAAATTCTCAGATTCATACAACCTCCCAAAACTGAACCAAGAAGAAATAGAGAATCTGAATAGACCAATCACAAGTAAAGAGATTGAAACAGTAATCAAAAACCTCCCCAAAAATAAAACTCCAGGACCAGATGGCTTCTCCGGAGAATTTTACCAAACATTCAAAGAAGATCTAATACCTA